GGCTCGGAATTCAAATGTTCTGCCTTTATGTGCCGGGCCGCGCGAACTCATTTACATCTCCATGAGTGTCTTCACTGTTGCTTCTCCTTGTTCTCTGCCTTCTGTTTTGTGGGGCTTTGCTTTGTTTGGTTCTGTCTTTTTGTTTTCGTGTGTGTGTTTTGTTGTTTTGTTTTTTTTTTTTTTAAACTTCTGGCTTTGCATATTGCACAGGCTGTGTTCTGTGGTGGGACAGGCTGCTGCTTCCTGAACTTTTGGTGAACTCTGTCAAATTTTCTCTTTGCCTCACCTATTCCAGCAATTACTTGGTTGTGACTCCCATCTTTTAATCCTGTAAAAAAATTTTACGCTGTTTCTGTGCATTGCTCCAATCATCTGTTTGCTGCTTTGTACCATCGTGTATATTAGGAGTTCTAGATGTGGATGCTTCTGCCATATTTTTGGTTTTCATAAAAAGTTATCTGCTTCCCGTGTTTTGACATCCAGTCTTGAAGAGAGAGAGAAATATGGTGTGAAAATTCAGAAATGCAAGTACTTAGTCATGAATTTTGTAAAGAAGCATAAGCGTGGCCATTATCTAATTCTAAATATATGGGCAAGATGGAAAAATACACAGTATTTATTGCTTTTTTTTTTTTAGACTTCTAAGCTTTCTGATTAGGTGCAACTTTGTAAAGGGATGTACATCTAGGAAAGGTTTGCTGATGGAAATATGTGGACTTTTGTCCCTTAATAGTGTAATTATATCATAGGACTTCTTGCCAGAAACTGGTAAAAATTGTTCCTTTTGCAACGGTAGCATATTAAAAAAACAGCAACAAAACCCCCATCAATTTTAGCAAAATAACTTATGCTAGTGACTTTTTCAGTAGCTTTTGCTAGTGCACTGTGTTCAACCACGAGGGAAAAAAATCTCATCTTTTAACCAACGGTCCCCAGTGTAGACCAGACCTGTAATGCGAATATGCCATTAAAATGTTAGAGTTCTCCTGTCTGGCTCCCACAAGGTTTAAGATGTGCTAATGAGACAGTGCTTCTAGCAAAACATAGTAGTTAATGCTTCAAAGTAGAGACTAGAGCCATGGGTCGTGCATTACTGGGACAGTGAGGGTGGTGATTGCAGAGTACTTCTTGGGGTCTGCCCCAAGAGCATGTAAGAAGATTTCAGAAAGGTGATTGATCGCAGCATCTCATCTCTTGCTTCCTTGTCCTTACCTTTTCTGTGCGTCTGACACTTGAAGGTACAGGATTGTTTCACTTGTCAGGTAGAACAAACATGCAACAGCTGTTATTCATGCATGTTGTTGCAACACAGAGTGTTTTCTTAATGGAATTATGATTGGAATATGAGACTATATAGAAAAAGATGGAATTGGTTAAGGGGACTACCTTTAATTATGTTAATGTTAAAATAGTATAAAGCTACTTTAGTATTGAAGGAGCTCATACATGTTGCTCTTGCACAGGGTATTAGTTTATCTTATGTCCATGTTAACTTGATGGAAGAATAGGTTGACTTGTATACGTGGATGATAGCATTTGTATCTTCTTTGGTGTGTCCTCATCATTCAAGTAGAGCAGCTTTGCAGCCTTAGGCCTTGTCCAAATTAATTTGAAAAAAGTTACTGAGCTCAGTAGTTAGATTGTGTGTATAAGCCCTGGTCTCCTGAGTGGGCATTTAATGAGAAGAGTAGTTTTCAAGAGCAGTTGTGAGAAAAAAACCTTGATTAGTTATACTTGTAAGTTTAGAGACTGTACTGGGAGTAAGTTGTGACTGTAACATGCTTTCACAGTGGAAAACTTCATTAAAGTAATTTTTAAAGAACAAAGCAATTCAGAAAACTCTGCCACATTCAGCAAATACTAGCTTCCATTAAAGTGGCTTATTTTCACATGGAGAGTGTTGATAAACCGAAAGGGAACTTCATAAAACTGCCAGTTTCCTTGTTTTCAGCCTACATGTTTTTGTATGGCCACATCACTGTGCTAACAGAAGTCTTTCTAACAGCACAGTAGCAATATTGAACAAATCAGAAGTTTCAAAATGTTTTTGTTTTCCTCATCCTTGAGCATAGAGCATAATGTGGTTGGTTTGTTTTTAATTTGATTTTTTAATGGACTATATTTTTCCTTGCAGTTATCTTTTATGTTAGAAAAGACATGGTTGAAGAATTTCTTCATGAGAGTAAGACTTCTTATGGTTTTAGATTCTGGAACGAATGCACAGAAATTAAAACCTGACCTCTGAGAAAGTGATCTTCTGCATAGACAACTTCAATCCCTGTGATAGAATGTTCATCTGTAGGTCTTCTTCATCTGGAAGATTAATGTGCAGAGCAACTTAATACGGATATTGCGTTTCGTTTGGTAACAGTATAATGCAACCCTGATTTTGCTTTCACTGACAAAAATAGGTAGTAGTCGCAGCTCAACTGTGTAGTGTGATGTGATGTTTCTTGTGTAGAGGTAGTTGAGGCTTGAGTAAGAACCACTGATTCAAAGTGATTTTTTTTCCTCCATAAGAGTAAGTGTGGTGCGGGTTTTTTGGTTTATTTCGCTAACTCACGTACTTTGTGACAGGGAGATTTTAGAACCCTTTCCCTCTTTCTTGGTGGCTGACTTTATGAAATGCAATTGTCCTTGACAGTCCCAGTAGCAGTCTTAACTCTTGGTGGCTGACTTTATGAAATGCAACTTATTGATTGTCCTTGACAGTCCCAGTAGCAGTCTTAAAATTGAACTATAGTTTATTGCAGAAGTATTGGCCAAGTAGTCTAACAGATTTTGATCTAATGGGTTGTAGTTGTTGATCCTTAAGAATGAGCTGTTACTAGTTTTAAGGCTTCTCTTCCCCTTGCCAGCTTATACTAGAGATTTTCCTATGTTTTATGCTTTTTAGTAATTTTTCTTTGGAATCCATGTTGTTATTTGTGAGTGGTTCATGTAAGCAGGTGGTAATGTTCTAGAAAACTTCAAAGGATGTCTTGTGCTACAAAAAAGTGTTCCAAAACATCAGGAGTAATTTTTATTATTTATCATTTGTCTGTCCACAAACTGTTCAGGAGTATCTTTTCTGAATGGATTCTGTGTTAGTTGTTGCTCCAGAAGAAAGTATGTGTTTTATTTTATCTTGCATTTCTTCAAGCTGAAATGGGAACAAGGCAACTTTATCTGTGAATGTTTAATTTAGAATAATGTAGCTGTTTCTTAATGCTGAAATGAGCCCTAATGCACAGACCCATTAAAATGCGCTCTGTAAGAATGTGGAATAATCCTAGCCTTAGAAGTAAGGTACAAAAATCTACTGTTTCAAGACTTGCAAAGAAATCATTTGGAAAAGTTTAAAGAGCAACAGCAGTATTAAGTCCTGGCAACTTCTCTTCTAGTTATCTTTTTAAATGTTGGCATGGAGTCATAGAGTTTGCATAAATGCCTGCATAGTGCTGATCTTTTGGTTAGTATGTAAATAAATTCTACAAGTAGTTGATAGTGTTTTAATGTTGGAATGGTGATGGAATGCTGTCCTTCACTGGGATGTTGGTGCCACGGGACAGTGCTACATGTAACAGAGTTGTTCTGCGAATAACTTTGTTCTGTCTTAGCTGATAATGACACCTTAGCCAAGCTGTTAAATGAATGGTATGATACCATTCCAATAGTGAGAAATGGAAAATTTACTTTTGGTAGCTTTCTCTATGAAAAGACACAAAAATCTTAATAAAAATGGTATGTAAAAATCTTTAGGACTTTTTTTACAGGTATGATTTTGAAGGATTTTTTTCTTATAGGCTTCCTTATGTAAATAAAAATTTTAAAAAAACCTTAAAGTATAAACATTTCACAGTGGTAGTCTCAAATTAGTTGTTGCAGTTTTGGCTGATTTACTTTAAACAAAAGGTTGATTAGATGTGGATAAATCAGTGGGAAAACTTACACTGATTTAATGGACCAGATTTTTCAGCCTGCTATTGGATGGTCATTAGCAGGGAAGGGTGTTAGCTTTTCAGTGTTTACTTATGTTTTTAATTCCTGGTACAAGTTACACTTAAGATTGGTTGTTTTCTTATTTTTCAGGACATGCTGCTGATATGAACATATTTTTAGATGATCCAGAATTTGCAGAAATTATTCTGAGAGCAGAACAAGCTATAGAGTGTGGAGTTTTTCCAGAAAGAATCTCTCAAGGATCCAGTGGGAGTTACTTTGCCAAGGATCCAAAAGGGGTGAGCATGTTACTGCAAAGTCAGAGACACTATCAGCAATGAGTTTGAAATGGAAACTTTACATTTCTATTTAAATGGAAATTAATTTAAATTAAGTTGTTTAATAATTCATGGTATGCCAAAATCTATGTTGAAAAAATCAACACAAGCAATATTTAGATTTCTAATTATGTCTTGTAGCATAAGTGAAGCCAAAATAACTATTATTTCTCTGTTGCAGTTCTACCATGTTTTAAATGATCTGCACAAAAGAAATACGGAGAAAACGAAAGGGCCTCTTTAACATCTGAAAACAATTCAGTAATTCCTTTGTGCGGAATATAACATTTTGTTCTTTGTATGTTTTAATTGATTTTTGACACAAGTGAGCTTCTGACTTGGCTACTGCTTAGGTTTCTTTAGCCAAGCCTTCTGTATTTTTTTATCTCTTCTTTTTAAGTAGTCTTTTCCTTCGGTCATGTCTCCTTCCTCCTATATGATTGGTAGATGGGCAAGAAGAATGATATAAACAAATCTATCCTTGTACCTGTCTACTGAATCTTAACTTGAGGATTTGGTTTCCCCTCCCTTAGTGATAAATGGTACCTTGAATAATGATCATCAAAGAGGTGTCCTAAGGTTACTTTGAGACAGAAAAGTAACAGTTACCTGAATATCTTGCATGAAAAGTAACATTTGGTTAGCATTATTTAGATAGAGAAAATGTCTCAGACATACTTTCACATTGTTTTCTTTAAGTCAGAAATACTTTATCTGCTTACTGACCTGTTCCAAAAAAGAAGGCTCCCAACCCCTATGCCTTTGTTAATTTGTCAGATCTGATTTTATTTTAAGCTCTATCGGCAGTCTTCTGGTCTTAGGCAGATGTAGGTGTTCATTAATCCCGAAGATCCCAGTTGTGTTGGACGTGGAAGTTGTAACACTTTAAGTGCCTAGGTTTTCAGAACATATTCAAGATTATTATTCTTCCCTGCGTCCCCAAATGGTCATTTCCCATTCGTTTAGGAAGTAGTATTTTTTTTGTTTAGCTTTTATTCATACTATTGTCCCCAAATGGTCATTTCCCATTTGTTTAGGAAGTATTATTTTTTTTGTTTAGCTTTTATTCATACTATTGGTCATTACACAATATATTCCTGTTTTGCCACTTAATTTTCATAGATGCTTGGTTTGTTTTAATGCCACTTGTTTGGTGATAGTTTTTACATTTTATTGGATGAGTGATTTTTAGAACAGCTACCTGACTTAATACAAATAAATATATTAATTTATGAATTTAATTCTAAGATGGAAAGTGGCAGAACTACCCCTTCAAAAATCTTCTAAGAACTGCACATTGCAGTTCCTACTCCCACGTTCTAGGAACACTTGTTAGTAATGACCCACTTCATTCTGGTGGAGGAGAGCCACAGTAGGTTGGGAAGGAGAGTCCCTCTTTTTTTGAAACTGGAAGGAAAAAAAAGCTTCTCTAATTGTGTTGCAGGTTCTTGCCATCGCATACAATGCTGTTAATGTGAAAACCTTCTCAAAGTTTCAGTGGACTTTTTAAACTTCAGGTCACTTCCCTACTTCAGTAGTTTAGTTCTTTATAGGTTTTCAGGTTGTATGCTTATGTATACATATTTAAACTTTATACCTCTCTTAAAGAGGTATTTTAAAATGGGATTATATCTTATGTAGTATGTAATGGGAAAAAATATGAGTGAGTAATCAAATACTGGTTTAAATCAATAGTTTTTCAAAAATTCAGTGCATGATGTGTCTTAAAGAATATTCTACAGTGTTAAGCTAAAAATGCTTTAAAACCAGTTAAGTGGTTTTTTTTTTGAGTTTTTCTTAATGCTGTGCAATCAAGAGCTTTTATTCTTAGAAAGTTAGTTAGTAGAGAAATTACTAGAAAAAATGATACTTGTTCTGGATTTCCATGTATGCACATCTGTGTTGTCTGAAGCCTCTCCAGACTGATTTTCCTCTTTTTTTGGTGACTAGCAAATGCTTGAGAGACTCACTGTGTCCTGGGGCTAATAAGAAAGTACTTACACATCATTTTTGTAACCATATAATTTTGGATGGAGCACCTTATTTCCTTCTTTCTTATGTGGTGATTTTCCTGTTGGTTTTACTTCTGTTTTGCAGTGAAGTGTTGTTTTTGTTCTTAGCTAAGTTCCTAGTAGTGACTTGCCCTCCTCTTTTATGCAGACCATGGTTTTGAATGTAAGTATTTAGGAGAAATGAAGACTAAAAAAACACCTTTTTTTTTTTTTAGGTGGGCCAGAAAAATTTAATTGCAAAATATGAAAGTATTTGCCAACATGGGACTGTGAGAATAATGATACTGCGTTCCTAACTGACTTTCAATTTTGCGTTTATTCTTTGCATTAAATTTAGAACTTATCTAAATTTGTTATCCATATTAAAGATCTGAGAAAACTTCATTTAGTCAATAGTGCAACTCCCATTTGTAGAATGGATTTCACATCCTGTTTGTCTGACAGAGTATTGCAACATCTGCTCCAGACCAGTTTTGTGACTTGCTTTCTCCTATGCTTCTTGAGTAATCTCTTCCTTATGCTGGGAAAGAGCTTATTAAAGATGTGCTCAGCCTTCTTACTGGTCAGCTTCTGAAGTGTTTACCCACACTAATATCAAGTCACAGGTAAAATAACCTGTTTCCATTAGGTCATCTTATTTGCTGACTTGGGTCTATCAGAAAGATAAAACTAAAATTGCCTAATTAAAATTATTAACTTTTTGCATTTATTGGCAAATATTATTTAGTTGTATATTGATATGAAGCAGTTCAGTATTTAAGCAGCTCTATTGCTGAAGTGTTGAATATTCCTGCTTTAGTTTTCATTGTGTAACCAGTGAAGTAAAAGACATTGTGTCTGTAACAAACTGTTCTGCAACATGTGTTTCACAGTTTAGCTACTGGCTAATTGGTAATACCAAGGAGTCAGTCTAGAAATTAATTTTGACTTGCAAAATTAAGATTGGCCTTGGTAGGTTGTCTACATATTGAGCTTTCTGGTTCTACTCTGGTCGTCAACAGCAGTGGTTCTACAAAGTTTAGCAAGGTTCTAACTTCAGTGAAACCTTGAAAACCCTATCTATATTTGATAGTGTAGCACAGTACAGTCCAAGCACGTAATGGAATGAGCTAAGCTCTTTTTTAAAATGGGTAGTTTGTAGGAAGTATTATCTAAAGAGCGATTCAGAAAAGAGAATTAATGGCTTGGTGTATACTGCCAAATATGCCACTCCGTTTCTGGGAAATAAAAAGCTGCTGGCTTTGTTTTCAGCAGGTACATACCTGTGATTCAATAGGAAAAAGTTAAATAACTTTTTAACAATTCTAAACCTAATGTTAGAATTTTGACTAAACTAGTTTACCAAGCAAATTCAGTTTCCAAAGTGGTGTGATTTTAAAAAAAAGTAGAATGTTCAGAGAACATCCCAGCCTTTCACATTGCATAGAATATTTATTGTAAGCGTCACCTTTCGTGCAGGTCTAAACTGAATTGTGTCTGTGCAGTTACATAGAACATAGAACTTGCTTATGATTTTGAATGTACCTGTAGAGTCATAGTTAAGAGCATACCTAAAACAAGAGAATTTTTGCCAATATATTTCCTGTCCTTGTTGATAGGAAACTTGTTTTATAGGATGAATGCAAATAGTGGTATTTCATAACTTATTTCTCCTGGTAGTTGATGGGAATTAATCAAAATAGATGGACAAGACAGGTGATGCTACTAATGCCTGGTGTCTTGTGTAATCTGTTTACAAATTGAATGAAATAAGCTCGCTGTAGTTAGTTTGTCTTGGACAATCTTGGACTAGTTAGATTATATTGGACAAAGTGGGTGAAAATTCTCAGGAAACTAGAAAAACTAACCAGTCAGGTTCTCTCCATCTAGTTGAATAAGCAGTTACTGAAGCAGAATGCTAGTTTCTGACTGCCAGCAAACTTGTTCATGATTTAAGAGTATAAATTGATTATGAGTGTTGGTGTAGCAACAGTGTTTAGCTCATTGAGATAATGACTTTTTTGATAAGGATTCAGGAAAGTACTAATACGTGAAAATGCTTCTTAAACAGTTGTTCTTAAGTATTTATTAGATAAGAATTTCATTTGCTTACCATGGTCCTGTGAGAAGGAATGAAGATACAATACTTTTACAACATTTCACTTGAGCTATAGAAGAGTCATTACATGAACTTTATGCACTAGGCTAAAGTTTATCACAGACAATTGGAAGGTTATATATTTTAGTGTGGTAATAATCTTGTGGTTTGAGGTTAACAAATACAGAATCATGTGTAGGAGGCACCTTGAGAAATTTATTTAATGTCTGTGTTGTGGAGCAGGATTGTCTTAACATGATTCCTGATGAATGTCTAACTAACCTGTTGTTAGTGACATCCTGTTCTGAAGACTCCACAACCTGGCAGCCTGTTCCAGTCTTGAGCCACTCTTAAGGTTCAAAAGGGTTTTTTTGCTTCCTCTCTTAACAGTAAATGTGGTGCTCCTTTTTTTTCTATAACAACCTATTACATAGTTCATTGTGCCCCACTTTATCTTAGGCTAAACAATCCCTCTTCATACAGTCTTTCATTATTCACATTTTTTTTGTGCTTATTATCACTGTTCTTTCAACTTTCTCCAGTTTGTTAACAGATGTCTCGAAGCATAGCGTCCAAAATTGGACACAGTACTCTGAGTAATTTTAAGCTTTACTACATGTCTCCAATATAAATCGTGGCTGATAGTGTGAACCATTGTCAGCTTTGAGTTGAGGAATCTACAGCAGTGCTGAACGACACCACTCTTTGTAATTGCAAAGTGCAGAACATTTTGATCCATACTAACTTAAAGCAATAAATAAAATAGATATAAAAGAGAAAAGGTAACATTTGATTATTAGTATTCTGTATATTTGTCACTTTCCTGGAACCATTATGTCTGTGTCTGAAATGTCATGTCAATGAGTTAATTGGTGGGCTGAAAAAGATTTTAATAACTACTTTTAAAACCTCTTTTATAAAACAGAATACAAAAAAATACATATTCTAAAATGCAGTCTCTTTAATTTTGAAAATTACTAAATGTTAGCTGGTCTTTACTTTCTCTTTTGAGTTTGTACTACTTCTAGACAACCATTTGATGATAAATTTATTTGGAATACCATCTTGTTAGTTTTATTATTTCATCATCTAAAAAGAGCAGCTGTAAAATGCAGTGTATAGTATCTAAACAATACTTTCAAATAACTAATTTTCAAAACCAGTTTAATCTTTTGCATCTCAACCATTCATACTTTAATTTTATATTATTTATCCTAGAAAATTATTGGAGTGTTCAAACCAAAATCTGAAGAGCCTTACGGACATCTAAATCCAAAATGGACCAAATATTTTCACAAAGTTTGTTGTCCTTGCTGCTTTGGCAGAGGCTGCCTCGTTCCAAATCAGGGATACCTCTCTGAAGCTGGTGCCTATCTTGTGGATGACAAGCTGGGGCTAGGAGTTGTACCTAAAACTAAGGTAAAAGTTAAAATATATAAACTACTGAATGCAAAATTACGTAGTGACGGATTTGTCAGTCTCTGGACTGTAGCTGTGGAGACGTGTTTGTATATTGTGACTTATCCCCAAGTCATTTATAAACTATTGCAAGTCCAAAGGCACAGTGGTTTGGTGTAGAAATAGTGACTGTGATTTTTATTTTTAAGGATAAGTTTGTGATCTGAATTGAACCTCTTCTTTGGAACTCCTTCAGTTTCTGGTATTTTCTGACACTTCTGTGCCTCGTGTTTTGGTGAGATGCATCAGAATTGCAAAAAGCAGCATATGAAGGTTCCCACTCAATGGTATAGACAGTGGGATTGAGGGTACCCTCAGCAAGTTTGCAGATGACACCCAGCTGAGTGGTGCAGTTGACACTCCTGAGGGACGGGATGCCATCCAGAGGGACCTGGACAAGCTCAAGGAATGGGCCCGTGTGAACCTCATGAAGTTCAACAAGGCCAAATTCAGGGTCCTGCACCTGGGTCAGGGCCACCCCCTGTATCAGCCACAGGCTGGGGGCTGAAGGGATGAAGAGCAGCCCTGCTGAGAAGGACTTGGGGGTACTGGTGGATGAAAAGCTGGACAGGAGCTGGCAATGTGCACTGAGCCCAGAAGGCCAACCGTATCCTGGGCTGCATCCAAAGCAGTGTGGCCAGCAGGTCGAAGGAGGGGATTCTGCCCCTCTGCTCTGGTGAGACCCCACCTGCAGTGATGCATCCAACTCTGGAGCCCTCAGCACAGGAAAGACATGGACCTGTTGGAGTGGGTCCAGAGGAGGCCACCAAAATGATCATGGAGATGGAACAGCTCTCCTGTGAGGACAGGCTGAGAGAGTTGGGGTTGTCCAGCCTGGAGAAGAGAAGGCTTTGGGGAGACCTTCTTGCAGCCTTCCAGTACTTAAAGATGCTTGTAAGAAAGATGGGGACAGACTTTTTAGCAGGGTCTGTAGTGATAGGCCAAGGGGTAATGGTTCTAAACTAAGAGAGGGTAGATTTCAACTAGATAGAATGCAGAAGTTTTTGACAATGAGGGTGGTGAAACACCGGGTCAGGTTGCCCAGAGAGGTGGTAGATGCCCCATCCCTGAGAACATTCAGGGTCATGTTGGATGGGGCTCTGAGCAACCCGATCTAGTTGAAGATGTCCCTGTTCACTGCAGGGGGGTTGGACTAGATGGCCTTTAAAGGTTGCTTGCAACCCAAACTGTTCTCTGATTCTGTGATGCTATAAGTCTTTTACTGCATTTCTGTTTGATAGCAAGTATTCACCTTTTCATATCAAGTTTGTCTTTTGGAAATGCCTGATGCTTCCTTTTTGCTTGTTTGACAACTAAGCTTCAAATTTGCTCTGAACTTGTAATTGAAATAATAAGGAATTCTGAGCTGTGTTTTTAACTTTTGTATTTTAAGGTTGTCTGGCTTGTCAGTGAGACCTTTAATTACAGTGCAATAGATCGTGCAAAGTCAAGAGGAAAAAAATATGCTCTAGAAAAAGTGCCAAAAGTTGCTAAAAAATTTAATCGAATTGGACTACCTCCTAAGGTAAGATGAAAGATAAGTGATTTGTGCATTTCCTGATTCTTATACAGAACTATGAATTAAAAAAGAAAAAGAATATTTGTAGGTAATTTCAACAGTAGAAGAAAAACCTTGTTGCTTGTTGAAAACTATCTCTCAATGACTGAAGTTTAATAAATATGTCTGTTTCTATGCAAAATCTATCCACTCTGTTACATCACTCCTTCATTTGAAGTATTTCAATAATCTTGCCACTTTTTCTATCAGTGTGCAGTCTAGCTTTCTGCTGGAGAAGTAACATGTTAAAACGTTGCACATCTCTGATTTATTTTTTTTTCTTGACTGTTCAATATATTTCCCTTTGGTGTCATGGTTTTATACTGTCTAATCACTTCTCCCCTGCTATTTATCTAGTTCTTTCATGTTTCCTAAATCTTTATTTCCCC